CCCCCCCCCCCCCGCTCTCCGCTGCCTGCGCCTCGGTAGAGCTTGCGCCGCAATCGAGCAGTCGTTGACCCCCGATGGAGCTCGCGGTCTGCCGGTTTGGGGCCAGGACATCCGCTGGTCGTTGTTGGGTTTCGCCTTCGAGCAAAGCGAGGGAGAGAATGACGAAGAGAGCGAGGGAGGGGTGGGAGAGAAGAGAGAGGGTCGGCCTTCGTACCTCGACTGGATGGAGATCAGGCTGCAGGTGATTTTGCTTACGGGACTTGCCCGTTCGGCCTACGTGTTGTGCGTTTGAGTGCAAGCATGTGGTGTTCGTCCGAATGCATTGAGCACTGCGTGCTGATGGGCATATATGATGTTGTGCGGGGACCGTTTGGCACCTTTCCACTGCTGACTCTCACCGGTATTTAGCTGAGTTTGGATATTAGTTGCCATTTTCATGTTCGAGTCCACGATAGTATCGACTCCAAAGAACTGGTCGACATGCCGGACAGGGTAAACAACGTGTTTTTTGCCCGCTGTTCGAACTTTCTGACATTCTTTTGTGTGTGCGTACGCACATTGTAATTCTACCCGCTCCCAGATGTGCATGAACGAAGGCATCGACGAGATGCCGGGCATGTACGGCTTCAACGTGACGGGTCGGGCCCCGCTAGCACCGGAGGCGATCGCCAACCTCGACCGCCAGCACGCGGCCGATGTGCTGCAAGCCCGCACGGCAGACGTGGTGTTTTCCGCCGCCCTACAGGTGGGCGGTGGTTCGCAGGGCCAGCACGGCAGCGGTGGCGCGAACGGCGATTCATCGGACAGCCTCTTCGGCGGAAGTGCCAGCGAGGAAGACGAAGAGCTGGACGGCGAACCGATGGTTGTGGTGACGGCCTCTCTGCCGCTCCAGGTGAACGGTCCCGCGGCGGCGGAAGCGGAGCACGAACCAAGCGTCGATGTCGCCCCGCAGCAGGGTACGGGAGAGACAGTCGAGGTCGGAGAAGGAGCGCTCAAAGACGACGGTGTTCGGGGGAAGGTTGGGGCGGTGCTGGCGCTTGGGGACCGACTCATGAAAGAAGCCGCGGGCGTTCTAGCGTCGGCGAAGGCGACGACCTCCGATGCGAAGAAGGCGCCCCCTCCCTCGGGGGAGACAGATGCCGCCGCAGAGAGCGATGCCGTGCCCCCAAAACAGTCGATCGTCGGGGGTGAAGGGAACCTCGGCAAAAGCGTTGGAGAGGAAAGCTCAAAGGAATATCGGGGAGCGGAGGATGAAGAAAAGGAGAAAGAGCGCGAGAAGACTCTCGCGAAACAGAAAGAGCTCGAGCGGAGGAAGGCCGTGGCAGAGAAAATCAAGGCCCTGGCCCTGAAGAAGAAAGAGGAAACCAAACGAGAACTACAAGCGCAAAGGGCTAAACGAGAGCTCGAAGCTCAAAAGGCTGAACGGGAGCTCGAAGCCCGAAGGGCTAAACGAAAGCTGGAAGCTGAAAGGGCAAGGCGTGCTGAGGCAGAGCTGAAGAAACGTCGAAGACAGGGGCGTAGTCCGGGACGGAGACGGAGTATTAGCCGGAGTGCCTCCCCCGTCAGGCGCCGGAAGTATGCTCGGAGAGCTCGTCGTAACCCCAGCAGAAGCAGTAGCAGAAGCAGCAGCAGCAGAAGCAGAACCAGCAGCAGCAGCAGCAGCAGCAGCAGCAGCAGCAGCAGAACCACCACCACCACCACCACCAGCAGGAGAAGCAGCAGCAGCAGCAGAAGTAGGAGAAGCAGCAGGAGGAGCAGGAGCGGCGGTAGAGACAGAGTCAGGGGCAGGAGAAGACGCAACAGCAGGAGCAAAAGCAGAAGTCGCGTGAGAAGCAGGAGCAGAAGCAGAAGTATAGGCGGCAACAAGAACAACAGCCGTAAGGACTCTACCGCCCGCGCCGCCACCCCCAGCACGCAAATGGTGAGAAGTTGGTCGACGTCTTACATCTGTAGAATTGACACTCGCGACCACGCCGAAAACCGAATGCAACAAGCCCCTTTTGCCCATCTGTCCAATGCAATAATCCTACGCCACTTGCAACCTGCAGCGAGCTACCCACTTAGGTCGTTGCCACGGCCCCATCGAGATAATATTTTGTTCGCCGCCATCACGTCTGCCTCAACAGGAAAACAACATCCTTCCAAACCGACCTGGTACAGTTGCACACTACTCTGTTTCTTTATTGAAGTACACGTTATGGCTAGTGAGTGCCAATTTTCACTGGCAGAGTCTTCACGAAGATGGAAGCATGTCCTCTCTTTTTCGTGGTCTAACCGGGTGATCTGTGTTCGTTGTTCACCCCTTAGATCACGAATCGAACCTAAACGCCTCCCAGGCGGCACAACAATTGATAAGACCTGCCAGCTTGTTGACCTTGGTCGGTTTTGCTTTTTCCCCTCCTGTTTCTCTGTGTTTCTTGCCCAGCTTTGTTCCCGTCTGTTTTGCTTCGCCTTCCTTGGTGCCGTACATTTCTCGCTGTTCATGTGCTTTTGCAGTAGCACCACACCTCAGTCGGCCTTGAGCTTTTATCCTTGTTCTGGCCCAGCTGATGGCCGCACCTACTTGATCGTGTCCACAAGCACAACCTTTGCTTGCCAGTCCTTCACAGCCGCCACACACCACCGCTGAGGTCTGCTCCTTGTCCTGGTGTTACCAGGGACTTTGTTGACGCTATGCCCGAGTTCGTTTCAAGCGAATTCGAGGTATAGTGCTAGCTTCTGTTGTGCTTCTTGATTGCGTGCAAGCGACGTTAACCCTCCTTGTACAGGAAGCCTTTTTGGGGACGATTTGGGGACACTTTGGGACACAGCACTCAAAAGGCCTGTTACCGCATTGTTGTCAACCTAGGCTCCGCTGTATGCAACGTACGTGAGAACCCTTGGTCTATCATGCTTGGCTGAGGTGGTACGCTGTGTATGCTGTGTGATGCCTCTCCTGGGCCTCTGACTTGCTGTACACATCTCCCAACCCGCGTGCCCCCCAGTTCGCAAAACTGCTGTACATCGCCTTGTACTGGAAAAATTTGCTGACTTGGCTTCAGTATGAAAAGTGTCCCCACGTGTTTGGGGGACACTTTTCATTCTGAAGCCAAGTCACCCTTTGTCTGGCAAGGAGCTCAGATTCTTTGGAGGGCCTGTAACCCCTCGACCAATGGCTGACAAACATTTTTTCGGCATTCTTTTTTTTGCGGAGGGACTGGGTACTAGGAGGATTAAAGACCATGCCCCCCCAGCGGTACTACGGTTCAGTAGCTAGACCCCACCCCCAGTCCCTTTCTGTGAAGATGCTACTCTACCGGGGCAAATATCCAAATGTACAAGTGTTGAACCACAATCTAAAGGGGCCCCCCTGGAAACGCCAGGGATGAATCCGTCGGAGCCCCGGGTGGGTGAGGCGTTGGATTGCTGGCAGCCTTTCGTGCCGTGTTGCCCGTGCCAGTATCGGAATCCAGAACTTATTTTCGATTGCGGTTCATAGCGCACACTGTTGAATGCTTCTTTTTTTTTGTCTGTTTTTTTCCACCAAGGCAGTGTTTTTGCGTTGGTTGTGAAAAACCACATCGGGGAACCATCACGCAGCGCTTCCGAAGAGAGCTTCCCACATGAACGGCGTTTTTTTTGCGGACGAAGCGCCTGCCGCCGCGATTGTAACCGATTCGTTCTGTTTTTCATTCCTGTTCGTGATGACACTTGGTAGGCCCATGCGCGAGGTGCCGACGGATAGTTTTGTTGCAGCTCTTTTTTGATACGTTCGTCGCAACTGCATTTTCCAAAATGTAGTATGAGGACAGAACGAATGCAAGCATACATGAATCGCTCCAAGTTGTTGTTGTTCTCCCTCCTGACCTTCGCCGGTGTGGAATATCTGCCTTGCAGCCTGGCAAGGAGAGAGTTGATGCCAAGACCAGTGCAGCAGAGGGGAAGCCACCGGAAGCCCTCCCTTCGTCTGCTTCATCCAAAGATCACGGCGATGGCGCTGCCTCGGGGGGCACAGCTAAACCTTCTCTCACTTCGGCTTCTCCCAACGGCGATGGCGCTGCCTCGGGGGGCAATGCTAAAGCTCCTCTCACCTCGCCTGCTGGCGACGGTGTGGCGAGTGCCGAGAAAGAGGCAGATGCTGCCCCAAAAACGCCAGAACCTGAGGGTTGGTCGGAGTGGCGCGCGTTGAGTTCAGACGATGAAAGCAACAGGGGGGCTAGCGCTGGCGGAGACGTCAGTGACGGTGGACCTACGACCCGGAACGTGCGCGGTACCGACCAAGGGTTCCAAATATCGGTGCGCCGAGGATCCAGCCTTGAGAGACGATCCGGCGACACCGATGTGGGCCGACGTGGTGCTCACCGGGAGCGGTCTGCCAGCCCCCGTGGGCGGTCGTTCGGTCGCTCTTCTCGAAGCCGGGACCGAGGGAGCCGCTACGATCGAGGAGACACCTCCCGCCGGTCCACGACGAGCGAGCGTTACCGCGAGCGAGGTGGATACGCAGACTACGCTGGTCGTGCGGACAGATCCCGCAGCCGCGAACGCGGCGGTAGCAGGAGGCCCACCGAGCGTTCTCGCGGGTACGGGGCTCTCCCGCGCAGGGACGAAAGGACCGCAGAACCGTCTAGGTATGCGGCACTTGCAGACGACAGCCATACCTCAAAACGATCCAGGGTAGGCGCTACCGCAACAACTCGAGCGGCGGCAGCGAGAACGGCGGCGCTATGCCCCAAGAAGCAGGAATCCATGGTGCTACCGGCTGCGGGGAAGCTGCCGTCGAGTACAACCGGTACGTTCCTGAAAAAATTGTTCGTTCGTTGGTTTAACACGCGATCTACGAAACTAGGAGTGTTTTTTGGCGATAACACCCGTATTCCCAGCAGTTCCTTGTCGTTTCGTCCGCCGCTCGGAGAGAGACGGGAAAGACACGCGGAAGATGAGTGTTCGGTTTTGGTAGCCAGCAAACCTGTACCCACCGCAGACTGCCATCCCCGACATCGGGAGTCGTGTCGAACAGAATCCATCCACTTTACTTACAGCACCAAGTTCAGCATTGTCATCGTGTTTGCCTGCAAAGTCGTACACGTCCGGTCTTTCCTTGTGATGTTTAGAACGGTACTATCGGTAAACTCAACGTGGAGCACGCTGTCAACTACATCTGGCGAGGGATTGCAATGCCTAGGGCGCCGTTGGCCTAGTACGACTTGTCCATTCAATGGACCCTTGATACAATAGCCAGGTGCAAAGGTTGGCCCGCCCTTGGTCCAGGGTGCAAATTTGATGCGCCTCAAGCACGCGCTCTCATTGTGAGTGATGAATAAACGTGGGATGGGAAATATTTTTCCTGCCATCGGAACGGGTTTAGGGAAGAATCACACTCCGAATCAAGCAAGTAGTGTACGCGATTCAGGATCGATACCCCACTACAGAAGTTTTCTTGAGACGGAAAGGCAGAATAGGTACCACCGCAGATGCGCAGAATGGGTCTACGCAGGAGAACAGTCACTGCTTATGTTAAATTCGAACTGCCGTACGGGCCCTCCGTGCCCATGTCAACTACAGTAGTTTATCATGCGACCGGGCCACCTTGCAAGCCAGGCGAAAGGGCAGGGTGTCAATTCAAAATCACGTTAATATACAGTCCATTAACGTGTTGTCGGAACACCTTTTAAAGAAGACGATTTGAAACGCGAAACAACGATATTGGTGATCGCCTTGTCGAGCTACGTCGATAGCTGCAGAGTTTTTTTTCATGTTGGGAAAATGCAACATTTTTGGGCAGAACAATCCACGGAACCCCCTTGACCACCATGGTACCCCCTATTTTCCTCCGCGGAGCCCCCTCCATCACCGCGTTGCCCCCCGTTTAATGCCATGGTGCCCCCTTTGTGCAATTTCCCCGTGTGCACACGCTTTGTTCACAACTGATCGCGCACTAAGAATATATAGAGTAAGGGCGGGTATTAAGGACCACCCCCCCTATAAGGACCACTTTTTTCAAATGGGCATATCTCGGTGCAAAATCTGCCGTCCCCCTCAATTTTTTTTTTGAATTTCTCGCGAATGCGTTAGCTTTCGTTTGCGCACCTCAGCGCGACGATCCGACCATTCCACCACGAGCTACAGCACCAGATGCACCAGCACGGATGATTCTGCGTAGACTAGCACTTTTGTCCGCCTTCCTGCTAAGCATGGGTCGGAGTAGAGTGGACTCCGCAGCGGCCGAGAAGGCGTGTGCAGCGGTCCGCAACGGCAGCATGTCACGCTACGCTGCCGCTGCTGCCTTTGGGTTGAGCAAGACCTCGCTACTGCGGCGCCTGAGCGGTGAGTGCGACATGGACGCACGGGTTGGCCACGGGACTGTGCTGACGAAAGAGGAAGAAAATGCGCGAAAAAGATGTGCTGCTGTACGCTGGTCGGAACTATATTCCTCTCATGAGGAACGACCTGAAGGAGCGTGTGAGACAGCTCTGCAACGACGGCCGGCCGATCCCATGGGACCCCGACAAGGGCCCGGGGAAGTCGTGGTTGCAGGGCTTCCTCCGAAGGCACGATCGCATCAGCCTTCGACTCGCCCGCATCTACGAGGCCAACAGGATGACCTCGCCGGAAGATGATCGTCTGCACAACTTCTACAAGTTCTGGCAGGAGTTCGTCAACGAGCACAAGCCAGCACCCGACCACGTTTGGAACACGGACGAGTCAGGTGAGCATCTAGACTAGATAGTCTAGAGTTGTCTAGAGTTGTGTGCTTTCAGCAGCAGCTGTTGTGCGATGGTTTACGGGCTTGCGTTGATGTTTTCACCAGCGGTGCACAATGT